CTCTACAAAGTTTCGAGGAGCCCATAGGTATACGTCGTACAGGTATTATGTACTTGTAATGTATGCACAACTGTTTTCAAGGACGAAAGCGGACTACCGCATCATCATCGCGTACCTTTATGCCTACATACCTTCAGGTACTCACCGGAAACGCCGAGTCATACAAGTCGATTAGAGAGCCGCTCTATTGGCTCCCCTTGCCGCACTCGACGATAAAAATACAATAAAAGGTAAAAAAAGCCCGCAACAACGGCTCCATTAACTCGCCCGGGAGCAGCGTGAACTGACCCTCATACATAATACACAGGGTCCTCGTGACGTCCTCCTTCCTTTCTTCCTTCCTTCCTTTTTTTCCGTCCGACGAGGAGGAGCGTGTGAATTTCAACAGCCGAGCGTCGCGCGTAGGTAAGTTCATAAGTACACGTGTAGGTACAAGTAAACACACACGTAGAGTCCACAACAACGTACTTACATTGATACATTGAAATGATAATAATAATAATAATAATAATAATAATAATAATAATAATAATAATAACGTGTAAGTGTGGTAGCTGTGGCGTTAAGAGTCGGAATGTGTGGGCTCGTGTTTGCTTTTTCCACGTGCCATCGCGCGCCTCGAGTGCCGTGGATAGCGCGGACTGTCAACCACCGCGACGAGTGTCTCTTCCCCCTGCGCCCTGTATACACGCTCATCACGAGCGATGACACTTTCCATCCGGCCAAGAGTGCAAATACACACTCCGGCTCCCGCTGGACCCTACGGCTCTCTCTCTCTCTGCACTTGACGCTCGGCAGTACAAGGAGTATAAAAACAACCAAAAGTCCATGGAGGATACGGAGTAGCTCGTAGTTGGATTTTTTTTGCGGCCGATGCAAACCATCGCCTTTGGTTCTCGGGTTGTGGGCCCACTTGTAATCAGCTCGTCGTCCCACATGTGCACAGCGATCGACCGATCGGTCTTCCTCCTCCTCTCAACTTTCGGGGACCCGTACCAGGGGGGGGGGGGCGGAGGGTGCAGAAGGAGAAAAAGCTCCGCTCGACTTGCTTCGACGAGAGGTCGAAATGCAAATTCGAAGCGTGCAGTCCTCCGGTGTGTATACACACGCGACGCTTGAGACGAAAGTTCGAGATATACAATACACACGCTGTCGACATCTCGTGGTCCAACAGTCGACAATGACGTACTTTTTTCTCTTCTATTGGGTATGAGGTGGGTGGGTGGGTCGGTATACCATCATCTGCCCTCTCGATTTTACGTGCCTTGTTGGTGGTTTTAATACGTCATACATCGATCGTCGACTCCTTTCGATCCAACAGCCATTGCAAATTAATTGTTGATCCATGGCGATGATGGTGAAAAAATTACTCGCGCAAACATGTCAAGTCCGAAGAAGAAGAGAGGATGGGACTATTGAACTTTCGGCGTAATTTTTTTTTGTTTTTTTTTTTCTGCAGCTGCTGCTGCTTAAAAATCCCAAAAAGCAAAAAAAAAACTTTTGTGCAAAAGCACTCAGAGTTCGGTAAGTGCGCGCTGGCCTCGAATTTAATCCAAAACTTTTGCCCCAGTGCCCACGTGCTCTCTCATTCTCTAACGAGCGCCCGGCGAGGAGGGACATTTTGAATTTGAGATGCCTTTGACAGGTGAGTCCAAAGGGAGCACTTTAAAAGTTAAGCCCGGCGCCGAGATGACTAGTCGATTACTGTATACTATATTTTTTTTTTTTTTTTTATCTTCTTCTTCTTTCTTTTTTTTCTCGTACAGAGTGTAAACGCACGCAACCGAGACACGATGATGGCATCCCTATTGTTTCTCGTTTAAATTACACGACAACTCGTGTTTCAACGAACGAAACAGTACTCAAGACACTATTAAAAATGAAGCAAACAAAGCACTTTCCAGAAAATAAGTTTATACATATACATACATATAATATATATTAACTGGTAATACATAATAAGCGTACGTGTTCGAAGAATCGTTGGTCATTACGCCATCGATCTGTCGTATCAGGTTACAGACGCTGTAGAGCATCTACGTGTATTACGTAGACAAAATAAATATCAAATAAGCACTAATTAAAGCTTTAAGGGTACCAAAGTAAAAGGCGATACTGGAGATGTTGATACATATATCGACGACTCGGTAAAAGATAGAGCCAACTCGAAAAATTAGTGAAAAAGGAGCCAACTCAAATTTGGGTTGAGAAAAAGTAGTCAACTCAGATCATGTATAATGTAACACCTATGATGTAAATGTCAGTGCTTCCACGACAAAATTTGATGAAAAAATATAACTTGTATAAGTTGGCTTCAACCCAAATTTGGCTCCATTTTCACTAATTTTCCGAGTTGTCTCTGTCTTTTACCGAGCCATCGATATTCACGTAACGCGCACAACTCGGACAAATCCAAACTATAGGTACCTATACTAATGACGTGCCAAGGCTGCACGCGTACACAGGTACCTCTTGACACGCTGTATAACTTGTGCGTGTGGGAAGGGTGAGGAGAGTTTCGAGGGCGCATGTATAGGTATAGGGCCCTCCTGACCGGTACCGCACATGCAACTCACGAGCAGGTTTTACGATTTAACGCCCTAGGCTCTCTCTCTCTCTCTTGGTCCCTCAGCGTATATATATACACACACACACACGTATCAGCGATCCCCGCACGTGAACGCGTGCGGCCCGTCCGGGCCTCGAAAAAAGATTTCAGCGAGCGATCTTCCTCCCGAATCCTCGTGCTTCGCATAATATACGCTCACCCCTGACGATTTCATTTTAAGGCACTGCGCGATATGCGAGGGAGATGATCCCCGGAGATAGGCCGCCGGAGCGCAATTACATTTTCCCGCTTGATATTCATGCGATACGGAATTTCAGCATTTTTCAGAGAGAGATCGCATCGTCCTCCGGGCCCTTTTGGCTCGCGCGAAATTATTTTATCGGAAATTAGTTATCAGGCCCGACCGACCGCGCGCGTCATCATTATTATTATACACGCGTACACGGCTGATGTTCGAGATTTCGCGAAAATAATAGGAAGAGGTTCGTTCGGCTTATTGATGGCGTTTTTATCGCGCGAGGCTCGTTTTTTATCAATTTGCGGCCGCTGTACGCTCTGCTGCCAATCTTTTTTTTTTTTTTTTTTTTTCTTTTCCATATACACGTGATCGACGTACAGCTGCATCCCCTGTTTCTTCGATGCGCAAAGTTAATTCTAGGGCGCGAGCAATATTCAAATGAGGCCGGGGAAAGAAAAAGGAGGAACGAAATAAAATTCGGAAGCTTGACGAGTCGCGACTGCTGGTGACACCTTGGCTGTGCATAAGTAGACCTATGTATACATTCGTCACACGCGCGATGCGTATTGAAAAGGGAAAAAAAAAAAAAAAAAAAGAATGTAACTTGCTTTTCCTCCACCGAGTTTTAGCCTCATAAATAATATCCTATTTTGGATCGAGATGCTACCGATTAGAACGGGAGGAATGTATAAACGCGTGTGTGGTGATGTGTATATTTCGTGGGTGTACGGACCCTTGCCTCCCTCTGCAGGGGGTGCATTTTAATGCTGCTAGAAGCGGCTCTCTCCGTTGGGGGGGAGCTCGAATTTGTCAGTTCACTAGGCTTGCGATTTCAATGCAAACTACAGCGAATGAGCCGGGGTTTAATTTCACCGAGTTTGCGAGTCAAATTCGAGCGCAGGACAAATACGACAAGGGAGAAAATTTCATTTCACGCCGAGGTAAAAAAAAAATAAAAATAAAAATTCAACACGTTTACATCGCTCGCGCGGACTTTTTAATCGAAATAATAAAGCTAGAATTTGTATAACCGTAAACCAATTCGAGGGACCGTTTTATTCCGAATAAATAATATTGATTGGTTATTTGATCTACTTTGATGGTTAAACACACACACGCCGGCCGCTTGCCAACATTTTCCATTACGTTTGATGAATATTCTACAATAATAACGATGCCAAACTCCTCGTTGGCTACATATACGCGCAGCGCAAACTCATTTATTGCTCATGAATATTTATAAATGCGCTTCGGTTCGTACACACAGAATATGTAGGTATATTTTAGTAAGTGATCGTTACAGAGGTGCCTTTTTTTTACCTCGAGAGCACACGCACATACATTACGTACAAAGTTTACGAAAAACTGTATAAACCTGTACCTTTCGGGTAACTTTCTAAAAATGTACAAGTTTAGAAAGAGTGTAAGAATAATAATATAATATATATGTATGACGGAGAGATACCCACATTTATATGCATTAAACGGGTAATGCGGCTTCATCTAAGGGGAATTTGGATGAATGTACGGGCAATGCGCCTACATTAAATACCGACTGTCCGCAAAAGTGGCCATTTGGGCGTATAATCGATAGACACCCGCGACTTCAATCAATAATTTCGAGCGGAATAATTATTCGCCAAACGAAACTCGCCGACCCATGTCCATTTTCAACCTCACGTGGCTATTATATGCGCGTTGACCGATAATGTGTGTATATACATGTATATATTATGACGTGGGAGGACGCGCGACCGCAGTGGTATTGGAAAATACTTTGGTTATCGTTATTTGCCCAATTGCCATTAACGGTGGTGCGGGTCTATCGACCAATCGTTGGAATTGTCTCTGGTATATAATATATACATTGTTATTATTTTTTTTTTTCACCCACTCCTGGATACGTGTGTAATTTTAATTCCTCGATTCCATAAAGGGCCGAAAATTCCACTTTCAGCCACTAGGTCGGTGGGTGAGATATTTGAAAAATTTTCTCATAACGGATCGCTGTGCCGTGTGGCAGCCAAGAATGTCATCAATCATATACATATAAGCTTTGGTACATTAGGATGATATAAATATACGTATATTGAATAAAAAAAAAAAAAAAAGAAATTGCGGACACGTGTACGCGTAAAAAAAGTATATATGGCTTACTGATGATCAAAACAAATCGACGAAACGGTTACTTACGCCTGGCGTGTTGGCTTGCTTTCCGAAGGGAAACTTGGTCCATTTTAGGCTGTTCTCCGTCGTCGTGTCCAAAAGAATGACTGGAACAGAAGAAAAAAAAAAAAATAGAACCATTAATACATCGATTAAAATGCGTATACAGTATATAGTAGTGAGCTATAGTATTTTTTTTTTTTTTTTATTTCTTAATGGGCCTCAAACATATTGCTACGGGTCGATTATATTTACGAAAGTCAATTAGCATACGGATTCAATCAACAATATTGATTATGGGAATAACGTTTAAGTATCGGGACAAGATCGAGATGGGATGTATATTATTTGACTGTAAGTGCTACACGAGTGCGAGTATAGGAGGCCTCCTTTGAAGGACGAATGAAAAAAAAAAAAGAAATTGGTCATAAAAAAATGACGTCAACGTGACTTTTACATGCTTCTCTCCCCCAGACGCGTTTATGAATTACATCCGCGTGCGATTCGCAACGTTAAAATAAAGGAGTTTCGGTACATGATAATAAAAATAATTTTTTTTTGGTCCAGAGATAAAGGTAGATTTAGAAACGAGCGAATAATTCGCACGCCCCCGGCGAACCGACCATCTAAATAAGACAAATAATGCAATCGATTGTGAATTCAGCTCCTGCCGAGTGAGCTCGTTATATACACACGATAACGCGACTAAAATTTTAGCTGCTCCGTTTATCATCGTCGAAACGATGTATAATTTTATACAAATATATATACATATATACACGCTACTGACGAGTTCCACACGCGTAAACTGGTATGCTGAATCGAGCGCGGAACAGCAAAACAAACAATTGAATTTACGCAACGCGTCATCGGTATGTGAATATAGTAAGTTATTCTATACCATCAAGGCATATAATGAACCTAAAAAATCAAAACACGTCGATTTATCCTCGCGCGGGGTAGTTTCCCCCCCTTCCCCAACTGATGCTCCTGCCAGCGTCGCGCTCAATTAAATGCAAATTAAAAGTGGGCGCAAACTAATTATATTCCCCGTTTCGTTGAAAAAGTGCGCGCCGAGCGGCTCTTGTAATTATCCGTCGTGTACGGGCGTGTCTTGCGGGCTGGCCGCCACCTCGTGTGTCGCCCCGAGTCCCGGGTAATTAAATTAATTACGAAACCGGCTGAAACGAGGCAATTTTTGTTTTCTCCTCTTTTTTTTTTCCTCCTTTCTTTCATTCTCCTCCCTCGAATTTTAAGGTATCAAGTTCTCTCGGGGCGCTACGAAGGGATAATGCACACAGGTGTGATTATAATTATGCGCCCAACGCCTCCTATACCCGTACACCCATACAGTATCAGCAGAGAAAGAGAGGAAAAGCCAACTTTGCGTCCTATCTATATATATTGTATATAACAGGTGCGCGCGTGCAGGGGGTGCGAAGAAGAGAGACTCGTTATCATACGGTTATATATATATAAGTATACAGGTAATATGTACACAGTGCGTCTGATGTTGGTGCTCCCGACTAATTAGGCTGTGCGTGGGGTAGGGATCAAAGTCGTTTGGTGCTTCGCGTCGATATATTTTCCAGGGCACATGGTATACTGGCGTGGCAACCGAGTCCAAGGGGAAAACGAGAGCATCGCAGATTTTCACTCGAGACAACCAGTCGCGTAATCTGCTCTCGAATTTTTGTGTTGGGGGAGAAAAAAAAAAACAACAACAACAACAACAACAACAACGGCAAAAGTGTGTATGTGCCGGCGCCACCTCCTCCCCCCTAGAGCACCGGCAGCAGACGGTGTTTTTCCTCGCGAGATGAGCCCCGCAGGCTGGCGCGGGTATAACATTACACATCCCACCCACCCCCTTGGAGAAGAAGAGGGAAAAAAAAAAAAAGGGTCGAGCAGAGTAGGGAGGGCACGCGTTCCCTTTCAAAATGGCGAGGGCTATAGGTGTAGATCGTGCGACACAGCCGGCTAGAAATCCTCGAGTCGAGTCTCTGCAGCGTATAGTGTCCGTGACGTATAAATATACACACGCGTGTGGATGATAATGTACATGCACGTTTCACCTTTCCGTCGACTCGCCCCTCGCGTGGTACATATATACATGCATATATATATACAGGGAGGAGGTGAGGAGACACTCGACTAACATGTACACGTACCTATATGCATATATAAACAACACGGGGCCTTTCCCTCTCTTCCTATGCCCGAGACGGCAAGTCTTTCGTTTGCAAAGTTCTACACGCACGGGTGTGTGCGAGTGTGGGTGGTTGTACCGTTTGGGTCGCATGCGCGACACGGAAGGGGGGGGGGGGAGAACGACGGCGAGCGAGGACGGCTTCCATCGTCAACCCTCGTACGAGGACGCCTATGTATTCCCTCCTTCCGCCACCTCGACGCGAAGTTCACCACCCTCAGCTGTGTTCTCCCTCGTATCGCATTCTCTCTGGCCAACGGCAGAGAGCTACAGGCCTGCGCCCTTGAATTTTCTTCATACATACGGTGCGTATACTATAGGTGATGGTTTTACCTATATATGTAATATACACGTGCATACACACTGACTCGACGAAGAAAAGCCCCCGCCATATTCTAGAGTATATCGACCATGCAACCATGACGCGTGTAGGTAGACAGTGCACGCGCACACGGTGAAAAAAAAAAAAAAAAAAAAAAGTGTCAATGTCGTCGTCGCGCGTGCATATATATATGTACGGTATACACGCGTACCCAACCCCCATATCGTCGGCGCCAACAACTCCATATGGGTATAATATATACTGTATGTGTCGGTGCAGTGTGCGTGTGCACGAGAAAGTGAGTAGGTACATTATCACGTACGGGGCACAACGGTGCTCGCGGCTATATATGTGTAGCTGCCGCGTCGGGATCATTCATTCCCATAGCGTCAATGGACCTCGTGTGCAGTGTGCACGCACGTAAAAACGGCGCACATAATATATATGTTATGTGTATAACATACTCCCCCTCTCCCCGTTTCTTCGTCGCGACCTTTTAATTACTTTGCGCTCGCTTTGGGGCTGTTTTGTTTTTTCCCCCTCTTCGCGCGTCAAGTGCCTTATACTTTAATTGCACGCGTGGCACGGAGGTAGTTAGCTCTGCTTGTACCGATGGCTGTGTAGAGATGCATATGTAGGTACGCAACGCGCACGTTAAGCGGAAAGATTTGATTCGTAAGAGCAGCCTCGGGCTGATAAGTATAAGCTTTCTCGGTGCGTAATCTGCGCTTAGATGGGATTGTTGCACCGCCTCGGCCACTTTCACCCAACAACGTGACCCCGTAGAGACGACGATTATCGCGAGCTTATACGGAGAAGTGAGACGTTAATATAATATACATATATACACGCTGTTGCGAAAGAGAAAGGTATACATTATATATATGCATCCGAGTGAATATATGTGTGAACATTTCGCGAGGATAGAAATCTAGATGACCCGCTCAACCGAACCGGTGTCAGGGAGCTTTAAAATCCTCGCTTTCGGTTTGCGTGCGCGTTGAAAAAAAAAAAAAAAAAAAAAAAAACTTTAGTCCATGTATAAATTTGGATTTTCGTCATTCAGAGATTATTGCGTTATTGGATGTAATTGCAAGATACATTCCAGAGTCGACTTGAGGATATACAAAACCGGCAACGACGACGGGCGTTTGCTCGCTCGGGATTTTATTTGTCCGAGGGGAGTAAGGGTCGACACAACGGGACGACGGCCACACCGCGGCGGTCACTCATCGGCCGGTGCTAATTAGGTCTCATCGTGTTGCGGGTTCGATTAAAAATTCAGGCCAAAGCCACACACGATCGGTGTATGTACTATATATTTATTTACGCCTCCGCGTTGTCCCGTCCGCGCGCGTCACATGGACGATCCTTCCTGTAAACATCTACATATACATACATCCATACCAAAACAATGCGTCCGCTGAACTACTTATGTATAACTATATGGGTGGTGCTCAAAGTGGGAAGCTGTCGGGGAAACGTCATGTCGCGCGTGGGCGGCCGGATTGGGAAAAAAGAAGGAGACGATGCTCTTGTCCTTTCTCTTGACTTTTCGGGAGAGATCGAGGAGAGGATCGGTATACACACACGTCCGCGTTTCGAAAATAATAAAATTTAATAGCATCAGGGCGAGCAAAGTATAAAAGAAGAGAGAGAGAGCGTCCGACCATATACAAAACAGCTGGTGTATTTTACACGGCTCCGAGGAGCGCGTACGCGCGCATAAAATTTTTCGACCGGGTGAAATATCTCGATGGACACGAGATGTTTTTTTTTTTTTTTTTTTCTACACTGTACATACACACGGTGTCTATACGGTGAAACGAGTTTGAGTGTAGGATCGGGGCCTGCATCGCGGGCTCCTTAATCGAAAACTTTATACCTTTCCTCAGCGCGTTCGGCGCTTTCATTAGCATATATAGGTGCGCTCGGCGTGCCATAAATTTTCGTCGGATTCGCCGGCGCGTTGTACGTATACCAACCGTCATCTCTTGCGCTGCACGGACACGCGTGTGTCTCCTTTATCTTCAAAAGCTTCACGATGCGAGATAGTAATCAACGCGACGAAAAAATTAAGGAGATGGTGGGCGCGTACAACAGGAGGAGGCCAAAGACGACGAGGATGAAATTGTTTCCGAAATTCAAGGCTCGCGAGGGCTTACCGTCGATGCAGCGGCCGAGGGAGGGCTGCGCGGACGACACGTAATATAGGGGCTACGACGGGGGACGCGTCGAGGAGAGGCTAAGGGGAGGGACGCACGGCTGCTTTCTGCTTCTCTGATTTCCATAGAGATTGCGTTATTCGGATCTTCGGCACATCTCGGGGTATAGCCGGCTGCTATCGATAGGACACGAACTCCTCTCCCACATCTCCCTTTCTCCTTTGCGAAAACAAAAAAATCGCCCCCGGCGCCACCCTTTTGCAGCATCACATAATATATACTCAGCGGCAACAACAACATCATACTTTGCAAGGGTTTGTATTTTTATTTTACTTCACCTGCGCGTGCTCGAACTGAAAGAAGGAGAGGAGCACTTTTTTTTCGTATAGTATATGACAGCAACCATGGCAA